CACTTGGGAGGCCGAGACAGGCGGATTACGAGGTCAGGAGATCGAGACAATCCTGGCTAACACGGTGAAATCCCATCTCTACTAAAAATACAAAAATGAGCTGGGTGTGGTGGCGGGCACCTGTAGTCCCAGCTACACGGGAGGCTGAGGCAGGAGAATGGCGAGAACCCGTGAGGCAGAGCTTGCAGTGAGTGGAGCTCATGCCACTGCACTCCAGCCTGGGCGACAGAGCGAGACTCCATCTCAAAAAAAAAAAAAAAAAAAAAAAAAGTTAATCACTATGTTAGAAGACTCAGAGCAAGTTTAAGAATAGATGTTTTTATTTTTGTTTTAAGATTTTAGGAGGCCGGGCGCGGTGGCTCAAGCCTGTAATCCCAGCACTTTGGGAGGCCAAGGCGGGCGGATCACGAGGTCAGGAGATCGAGACCATCCTGGCTGACACGGTGAAACCCCGTCTCTACTAAAAAATACAAAAAACTAGCCAGGCGAGGTGGCGGGCGCCTGTAGTCCCAGCTCCTGGGGAGGCTGAGGCAGGAGAATTGCGTGAACCCGGGAGGCGGAGCCTGCAGTGAGCTGAGATCCGGCCACTGCACTCCAGCCTGGGCGGCAGAGCGAGACTCCGTCTCAAAAAAAAAAAAAAAAAAAAGATTTTAGGAAAGGAATCCTTCTAGTCTCGGTGACAGCTACAAGAAAGGGTATCTTCAAAGAAAGTTGTCCATGAAGCTGTGACTACAAGGGTTCAAAAGTTAGCTACTAAGATTCCCAGGTGTGAAATGGAGTCTGACTAGCCACCTTCCACAGCCCTATTTCACATGCAAACACCGAAAGACCTAAGAACGCAGACATCTAGAACGACTGTACAATTTCCTGCTAGAGTCTGGAAAGAACATCTATAGAAAAACCATAGGACTAGATGGAGCTGATGAAGAAACCCCATCAACAGAGACTTCCTGGGTAAAGGCGGAAAGACACTTCATACTTCCCCAAGGTCCGCGATCCATCCGACTCAGGGACAAGGGTCTACAATAACCAAAACGTTTTGAAACAAGAAACAAGTACCTTTGTTTCTTCTATCTCAGGGATCTTTCAGGCAATTAAGTGATTGTCATCACCCACCCATCTTCTGCCTATCGCCCATTTCACGCTTCAAATTACAGCTTAAGGGGCACAGAAGCCAAACTGGCTAATTTGTTATGATGAGGCCTCACTTCTAGGTTAGGCAAGGAAGATATTCCCTGCCCTTCGGACTATGTTCTACCAGTGAACTGTTATTTTGGGATGATTTTCAAAGTTTCTAAGGGTCAGCTAGAGTGCAGAATGGCTAAGGGATTCCACAGGCTAAAGGAAGTTAGAAATGACCTTTTATGGCTCTTTATTTTCACTTAATGCAGGACCTGGCAATGACGCAGACAAAGCCATAGCAACCTCAGCACATTGTCAAGATTCTTGAGGCAGAGAAAAGGCTAATAAGGGTTCTGTGTGAAGATTACTTCTGTTTTTGTATTTGTCCTTGAAAGCTCGCTAGCAAAGAGGAATATGGCATTTCTTTTTTTTTTTCTTTTTTTTCTCAAAACAGAGTCTTGCCCTGTCACCAGGCTGGAGTGCAGTGGCGTGATCTCATCTCACTGCAAGCTCTGCCTCCCAAGTTCAAGCCATTCTCCTGCCTCAGCCTCCCGAGTAGCTGGGACTACAGGTGCCCGCCACCACGTCCAGCTATTTTTTGTATTTTTAGTAGAGATGGGGTTTCACCATGTTGGCCAGGATGGTCTCAATCTCTTGACCTTGTGATCCGCTTGCCTTAGCCTCCCCAAGTGCTGGTGTGAGCCACCGGAATATAGCATTTCAAAACACAAAGGTAAGATCAGTGGAAAGAAACTGACATGCAATGTGCATTGCCACTCCCCCTAAACTCCACCCACACCCCACCGGCCAGCAGGCTTCCCAAGGGTGAGAATCTTCATAAGGAAGCTCTGTTCTGGAGACTGTGACAAACACTTTGAGGAGCATCCTCTCACACCAACCTAAAGCAACCCCTGAAAGTAGCACCTTCTCCGGGACAAGCATCCTCTTCCCGACTGAAAACAGCTTCTCTTGTCAAAATGCAACAATGCCAGAAAATGCATGAGTATCAGCTATAAGGTGCTCCATTCAGGAACTGTGAATCCTGAAGAGTGGTTGTGCTGCATGTAAAGCTGTGTTGCGGCCGGGCGCGGTGGCTCAAGCCTGTAATCCCAGCACTTTGGGAGGCCGAGATGGGTGGATCACGAGGTCAGGAGATCGAGACCATCCTGGCTAACACGGTGAAACCCCATCTCTCCTAAAAAATACAAAAAACTAGCCGGGCAAGGTGGCGGGCGCCTGTAGTCCCAGCTACTCAGGAGGCTGAGGCAGGAGAATGGCGTGAACCCAGGAGGCGGAGCTTGCAGTGAGCCGAGATCCGGCCACTGCACTCCAGCCTGGGCGACAGAGCGAGACTCCGTCTCAAAAAAAAAAAAAAAAAACAAAAAACCATATAATTTTTACTTGCAAATTAAAAATTGTTTTAAATTTAGAAAGTCATACAGCTAACTATATGACTCAGTCATTCCACTTGTAGGTATTTACCTCAGGAAAAAAATGCAAATTTATGTCCATACAAAGACTTATACATGAATGCAAATAGCAGCTTTCTTTGTAACAGCCAAAAACTGAAAACCACCCAAATATTAATCAACAGGTGAATGGATACACAGATTGAGGTAAATCCACACAATGGAATACAAATCTACAATGTAAGAGTGAAACGCAGGCCAGGCATGGTGGCTCACGCCTATAATCCCAGCACTTTGGGAGGCTGAGTCGGGTGGATTGCTTGAGGTCAGGAGATCAAGACCAGCCTGGCCAACATGGTGAAACCCCATCTCTACTAAAAATACAAAAAAAATTAACTGGGCATGATGGCGGGCGCCTGTAATCCCAGCCACTCGGGAAGCTGAGGCAGGAGAATTGCTTGAACCCAGGAGGTGGAGGTTGTGGTGGGCCAAGATCGTACCACTGCACTCCAGCCTAGGCAACAAAGCCAGACTGTGTCTCAAAAAAAAAGAAAAGAGTGAAATACTGATATACATAACCAGTTCAATGAATCTTAAAATAATTATGCTTAGACAAAGAAGCCAGAGCCCCTTCTTCCCCAAAAGATACATACTGTATAGTTCTATTTACATAAAATTATAGAAAATAGAAACTAATTTATAGTGACAAAAAGCAGTTCAGCAGTTGTCTGAGCATGGCGGGGAGGAACAATAGGAAGAATTACAAAGAAGCATGAAGAAAACTTTTGGGAGTAACGATTAGGTTCATTATTTTTATTGTAGTGATGGTTTCACAGGCATATATACATGTCAAAGCTTATCGAATCATATACTTCAAACATAGGCCATTTATGATCACATCAACTATATATCAATAAAATTGATTTTAGATTTATTTTCTCCTCCTCCTCCTCCCTCTTCCTTTTTATTTGTTAATTTTTTTAAAGATGGGATTTTACTATGTTGCCTAGGCTAGTGTCAAACTCCTACATTCAAGCCATCCTGTCACCTTGGCCTCCCAAAGTGTCAGGAGTACAGGTGTGTGCCACCAGGCCTGGCAATAAAGCTGATTTTAAAAAGCAGAATTAGAAAGAATAATAGAGCTGTACATACTGACATTTTATGAAGTTCATAACACATACTAAGTCTTTTTTTTTTTTCTTTGAGCTGAAGTCTCACTCAGTCATCCAGGCTGGAGTGCAGTGGCACGCTATATCAGTTCACTGCAACCTCTGCCTCCTGGGTTCAAGTGATTCTCCTGCCTCAGGCTTCCGAGTAGCTGAGTTTACAGGTGCGTGCCACCACATGCGGCTAATTATTTTATTTTTAGTAGAGACTGGGTGTCACCACATTGGCCAGGCTGGTCTCTAACTCCTGATCTCAGGTGATCCACCCGCCTTGGCCTCCCAAAGTGCTGGGATTGCAGGCGTGAGCCACCACACCCAGCCGACACATACTAAGTTTTAAAAAGGTGTGGAATTATATATATATGGAGAGAGCTAACTATCTCACGATTCCATTTATGTAAAGTAAGTATATTTATATTGAATATATGTATGTGAATATATACAAAAGGTCTAAGGAAATACATATTAATCTGTTTCCAGTTTGAGATTGGAGAACCAATATGGAGGGCTTTCATCTTATACATTCCTATATTGTTTACACTTTGTATAACAATCATGCATTACTTCTGAAATTTTACAAATATAAGAAAGTTAAAAAAAAAAAAAAAGTAAAAAAGCCACAGGGCAAAAGATAAAAAAGAAAAGCCAAATTGACATATTTTATAACAACAACAACAACAAAAAAAATGGAGTCTTGAGTTTGGAGACTAATTCCCAGTCGTGAAGCTAAAGCACAGAGCATAGGCATCAAATTCACTCGGACTTCGACTCAGATCTGCTGTCTCTGCTGTTACCCAATGGAAAGTCACCACTTCCATGAGCCACCGAGATGAGTGACAGCAACTGTCTATTCCCCAGCTATCCTGAGGCACACGCCAAAAGCTTTAAAGGACCAGCAGTTTTCACTCCAATTTTCAATGGGGATGAGGAACAATCAAGGTTCCAGTAAAAAATCTGGTGGTCGGGCGCAGTGGCTCACGCCTGTAATCCCAGCACTTTGGGAGGCCAAGGTGGGAGGATCATGAGGTCAGGAGATCAAGACCATCCTGGCTAATAGGGTGAAACCCTGTCTCGACTAAAAAAATACAAAAAATTAGCCAGGCATGGTGGCACGCGCCTGTAGTCCCAGCCTCTCGGAAGACTGCGGCAGGAGAATCGTTTGAACCCAAGAGGTGGAGGTTGCAGTGAGCCAAGATCACGCCACTGCACTCCAGCCTGGGTGACAGAGAAAGATTCTGTCTCAAAAAAACAAAAAAAATTCTGGCAAGGTTTCTGAGCCCACACTCCTCAGGGTATTTGGTACCTTGGATAATTTTCTGCTGCTGTTGCCGGATTTCATCAAAACCCAAGCCTCTGGTCTCCTCTGGCTCCTCAAAGAGCCAAGGGTTGGGTGCTCCTCGCTTAGCCTCTTCACTCATCAGGCTGGACCTAAAGAACAATATTAAACGATATTGATATATCTCAAAACATGCAGCTCAAATGCAAATTACTCCCACCAAGTGCAGAGGTGGCCAGCCTTGAATGCTTTGAAAATTCAATTCAAACACAATTTATTGCATCCTGAGTTTATGCCAGGAACTGTATTCAGTGCTGGAAGAGATACAGGGATGAATAAGGCACAAGCTTGGTCCTCAGAATTACAGCCTGTTATAGAGATGATGAGAGAACATAATATTTGTACTAATCCTCTAAGAAATGTTTGAGTTAATCCTAAGAGAAGTTGGTAATAAATGAGGTTCTTAAATTTCAAAAACAGAAGGCTGAACAGTAGCCTTTTTATTAGGGCAAAGTTTGTCTCAGAGGCTATGTGACCCCAAAGGTACAAATATTATTTCTCAAGCAGATACAATGTTGCGACTACAGATTACAATGTTATTTTTATTTTTTTTTTTTTAAAGAGACCATATAATTTCCCATTAAAGGATATTTGGAGCCAGGCGTAGTGGCTCATGCCTGTAATCCCAACAATCTGGGAGGCCGAGGCGGGCAGATCACCTGAAGTCAGGAGTTCCAGACCACCCTGGCCAACACGATGAAACCCTGTCTCTAATAAACACAAAAACAATTAGCCAGGCTTGGCGGTGGGCATCTGTAATCCCAGCTACTTGGGTGGCTGAGGCAGGAGAACTACTTGAACTGGGAGGCAGAGGTTGCAGTGAGCCAATATAGCGCCACTGCACTGCAGCCTGGGTAGCAGAGCAAGACTCTGTCTCAAAAAAAAAAAAAAAAAAAAGGAGTATTTGATTGCTCACAGACACAGGCAGGGTTTCAATACCAATTTTGTGACTTTAATGTAGCATTCATAACAGAATAAACACATTCTGATTTGTCAATCTTAACCTTACTCCCTCTAATAATCCATGTGCCCTTTCTGCACCAGATCAGTTGGTCTCGCTATCTAAGGATCAGGAAACACATGATTTCCACCTCAGTCCCCATGTTTTCAGGATTCTCCTCCTCTCAAGTAGCTCCTCTCCTCTCCCTGCCTGTCCACATTCTGTCCAAGCTGAGAAGACCATCTTGTCCAGGACACCACCTTCTGACCACTTCAACGAAGAGATGAACATTCACTTTAGAGCTCTCATCAGATTCATGAAAAATCAGAATAAATGGTGGGTGGGACATCAGCAAGATGGCTGATTAGAGGCACCTGGTGCTCACCTGCCCCCCACTTTCTTACGGAAGGACAAAGGCAATGAATAAACAGCTAAGATTTGACTTCAGTGTGGGAAAGCACTGGACTGCAGTGGGGAAGTGGAGAGGCCCCTGTGGTGATTGAAAGTCTAGAAGGGCAGCATGAAGGCCCCCAGCCTCCGTGGCCCCATCTCTTCCACCAGGATTGGGTAGGCCTGGACATATGAGGGCCTTCTCCCTTTGAGGAAAAGGTAAGCAGGAGATTTCCACCTGCCTCCACTGCCGCGGCAAACGCCTACAGTCCCTACTACAGGAGGATCCCCCAGTCCTTGCAAGTTCTGAGCCCAGTTTGGAGAGCTGCTGGGAATTCGTACAGTTGCACTGCCCCAGATTAGGCGTACACCCCACTCCCCACCCACCCCATGAGCCAAGTTACTACAGCACGGCGCCATCTTCAGACCACAGCTCCCTCTGGAGTGTGCCTTCCTCTTGGGGCCAAGTAGCCACTGCACCTTTCCAGCACTGGGACTCCATCTTCATGCCACCAAACCTACACAGGTGGCTGAACTCCACACCCCAGGCCCCAGGAATGGCTGTGACTCTGGTCCTGCACTGAAGGAAAACCACCATCCTCACTTTCAGCCACGGAAACAGTCCCACCCAGGGCAAACCCACTCTCGAGCCAACCAAACTGCTGTATACCCCCCTGCAAGCAGAAGGCCCTGTGCAACTGACAGGCTAGCACAGTGACTACACTTCTGCATCCAGGATCTGTGACACAGTCGGGCAGTGCAGCCCCCTACAGACATGCCCCCAGCCTACCGAAAGGCTCCCCACCTCAATCAGGGCCTGAGAAACAACCCTGCAGGATGCCCCTGGCAGACATAACCCCAAGTCAGCCAAGTGGCCCTATGTCCACATCCCAGGCCTGAAAAACAGCCCATGGGTTACCCCCAGCAGCAACTCCCCTAGGCCAGCTGAGCAGCCCTGTGTTCACATCCCAGGTCTGAGATGCAACTCCTCAGGCCACTCCCGGCAGACATGCCCAGAGGGCTGTCAAGCAGCCTTATGCCCACCTCTCATGCCTGAGAAATAGCCCTGTGGGCTGTCTGCAGCAGGCATTCCCCCCAGGAGAGCTGAGCAGCAGTGTGCCCATGTCCCAAACCTGAGAAACAGTCCAACAGGCCACCTCTGGCAGGCATACTCCCAGCCTGGCCAAGCAACCAAGCAACTGTGCCCTCAGCCAGAGTAAGGGAAGCAATCCCAACCCCAGCAAGTGAGACCCCAAGTTGGACAACCCACCATGTGAATGCATGCATCGTTGACCTGACAAATAGCCCAGTGAGCACATCCCTGGCAAAGTCATGCCACCACCACCACAAAGCCTCTCAGCTGAGGCCACTGAGACACTCACAAACATCACTAGCATGGATTACAGTTGAAGAAACTATACAAAAACTACACTACTATGCCCACCTGGAACCAAAACCAATGCATCCCACTAAACCAACACCCCAAGATCCATTCATATGAATATTTCTTTCCCTGCAAAACCTACTGCATAGAATTGGAAGAAGCAACTATTCCACCAGATGCATAGAAATCAACATAGGGATACATCGAACATGAAAAAGTAAGGAAACATGACACCTCCAAAGGAATACAATAATTCCTGTGCAATAGACCCCAATGATAGAGAAATATACAAAATGACAGAAAAAGATTTCAAAATAGTAATGTTACAGTGAGATACAAGATAATAGAGCTAGACGATTTGATGAAATCAGAAAAACAATTCATGACTTGAATAAGAAATTCAACAAGAAGATAAATACCATAAAAAAGAACAAAACAGGTATCCTAGAGTAAAATAATTCAATGAATAAACAAATACAAGCTAGAAGCTTTACCAAAAGAATAGACCAAGCAGAATTTTATTTATTTATTTATTTATTTATTTATTTATTTATTTACTTATTTAGAGACAGGTTCTCACTGTCACCCAGGCTGGAGTGCAGTGGCATTATCTCAGCTCATTGCAACCTCCACCTCCAGGGTGTGCCATCACATCCAGCTAATTTTTGTATTTTTTGGTAGAGATGGGGTTTCACCATGTTAGCCAGGTTGGTATCAAACTCCTAACTTCAAGTGATCTGCCTGCCTTGGCCTCCCAAAGTGCTAGGATTACAGGTGTGAGCCACCATTAGTGGCTGAATTTTTGAACTTGAAGACAGACCTTGTGAAATAACACAGAAAAATGGAAAAAGAAAAAAGTAAAATGAAATGAAGAAAGCCTACATAATTCAGGGAACACCATTAAGTGAACATTCACATTGTAGGTGTTCCAGAAAGACAAAAGAAGGGGAAATGTACAGAAAACACTGAATGAAATAGTAGCTGAAAACTTCCCAAGTCTTGGGAGCTTCCAGATCCAGGAAGCCAAAAGAATCCCAAATAGATTCCATTCAAACAGGACCCCTCTTAGGCACATTAGAGTCAAATTATCAAAAGTCAAAGACAAAGAATTCTAAAAACAGCAAGAGAAGGACTGGGTGCAGTGGCTCATGCCTGTAATCCCAGTACTTTGGGAGACAGAGGCAGGCAGATCACGATGTCAGGAGTTCAAGACCAGCCTGGCCAACATGGTGAAACTCTGTCTCTACTAAAAATACAAAAAACTAGCTGGGTGTGGTGGCAGGTGCCTGTAATCTCAGCTACTCAGGAGGCTGAGGCAGGAGAATCACTTGAACCCAAGAGGCGGAGGTTGCAGTGAGCTGAGACCACGCCACTGCAATCCAGCCTGGGCAACAGAGCAAGACTCCATCTCAAAAACAAACAAATAACAACAACAACAAAAACAGCAAGAGAAAAGCATCAAATCACCTATGAGGGAATTCCCATTAGACTAATAGCAGATTTCTCAGCAGAAATCTTACCAATCAAGAGAGAATAGGATTTTATGTTCAAAGCACCAAAAGAAAAAAAAATCTGCCAACCAAGAATATTACATGTAGCAAAGATATCTTCCAGAAATGAAAGAGAAATAAAATATTTCACAGACAAGCAAAAACGAAGGTAATCCATCACGACTAGACCAGTCTTATAAGAAATGCTCAAGGGAGTACTATACTTGGAAGTGAAAAGATCATAACAGCCATTATAAAAACATGTGACACTATAAAACTCATGGGTGGAGCCAAAATACCAAGGAAAACCAGAAAGAAAGAAATCAAGCCTTATCACTTCAGAACACTCCCAACCACAAAAATAAACAATAAGACGAAGTAAGGAACAAAGGATATACAAAACAACCAGAAATCAATAAAATGACAAGATAAGTCCTCACCTATTAATAATAACCTTGAATGTAAGTGAATTAAATAACTCATTAAAAGACATAGACTGGATAACTAGATTAAAAAACAAAAACAACAACAACAACAAAAAACAAGACTAGACTCAACTATATGCTGCCTAAAAGAAACTCACCTGACCTACAGACACACATAGACTGAATGAAAGCAAAGGTATGGAAAAAGATATTCTATGCAAACGAAAACCAAAGGTAAGCAGGAGTAGCTGTACTTATATCAGACAAAACAGACTTCAAGTCAAAAGCTGTGAAATCAGACAAAGAAGGACATTACATAAGAATAAGGGGATCAATTCAACAAGAGAATATAACAACTGTAAATATATACACATTCAATACCAGAGCACTCAGATATATAAAGCAAACATTATTAGCTCTAAAAGGAGAGAGAGACTCAAATAGTGTAATCGCTGGGGATTCT